TGGCAGGGGGATTGGATTGGATGGCCCTTGTGGTCTCTTCCAACTCTAGCGACCTTATCCCATGCTGCTCTCAAAAGTGGCAAGAAAGCGATATGAGCATCATTGCAGTACTATAGCGCTAGTATAAATATGGCGCTAGCGCTATAATAGCGCTATGGATAAGCTAGCGCTATTGCAATGCCCGCTGAAACCGACATTCAAAAGAACCCGAATGATGCTGCATTCCGAGCGGTTTCTTGTTGGATTCTGAGCGACTTCGTGTAATCACCCGGAAAACTATAGCGCTATAGCGCCTGATTCTTAGCCGATTCTGAGCGACGTCGTGTGATCACCCGGAAAACTATAGCACTATAGTGCCTGATTCTTAGCTGATTCTGAGCGACGTCGTGTGATCACCCGGGAATGTATAGCGCTATAGCGCCTGATTCTTAGTGGATTCTTGCTGCTTTTGGCCCCGTGGGATAAGGTCCTTAGATTCTATAATTCCAAGAATTTGCTGATATGTTGGTGCAACTGGCAAAGACTTCCCCTGGGGGGGGGGGGAAATCTCTGTATTCACCTAGTAAACTTATACCTTTCCTCCCAGTTGTTGTAGCATCAGCACATCTTTACTGTGCTAACTTCAATGTTCTTTCTAGTGTTATTTGTCATCTGTCTCTCATTAACATAATCCCATAATTCTATAGATTCGTCCACCTTTAGATGTTTTTCCATTTCATTTCATGTTTACCAGGCTTGGCCTTTTGACTTTCCAATAGTCCCTTACTGGGAGCCGTTCTTCCTCAATTTTTCTCAAAGATTTGTCTTTCAACCAAGAAGTGCAGTGGGCCCTTCCCATATGCGGGGGATCTGTTCCAGACCACAACCCCCAGCGTATGGGAAAAACACATACGCTCAAATCCCATTGATTTCTATGGTGGCACACTCCCGTGCATGGCACCGCATGCATGCCTATGGCACACATGCCATTTTGCTCTCCCAGGCTTGTCATACGTGTAAACTCAAATCTGCGTACAGCAAACCCACATATGGTGAGGGTGCGCTGTAAATCTATCCATTTCCATCATATCTGCTGGTTTCAACAGCCACTTTTCCATTGCTGATAAACTTTTAGTTTTCCATTTTTGTGCATACTGAATTCTTGCTGCGGCTATCATGTATATCATCATTCTCCAATTTTCCCTTTCAGATTTCCCCCCCCCAGCCTTTTATTTAGTAAATATTTAGTATATTTAGGTTACCTTTATTTAGTAAATAAAGTTCTGGATATATTGGAAAGTCTTTCCCCAAGATATTTATCATGTGCTTATGAAATTCTTTCCAATGCTCCTTGGCTTTTGGGCATTTCTACCACAAATGGAAGAAAGTTCCTGTTTTTTCTTGACATTTCCAACATTCTTTCCAGTTTTGTACATCTTATCCCACTTATTAGGTGAAGTATCAAGTACCATGTTGAAATAATTTTCTTTTATGTCTTGACATAGTGTGAATTTTGGGGGCCTTTTCCCCCCAAGACTTCTCCCAATTTTCTAGTTTTATTTCATGTTCGATATTTGGTTTTGCTTTTTTTTAAAAAAATTGTTCTTGAATGTCAGGAAACCCTGACAATGAGACATTTGAAATGAGAAGAATCATTGCAGTTCAGGACTTATTTTTTTGGGGGGGAGGCAACAATGCACATATTTTCCCTGTAGTAAACAGCATTTTGTATAGAAAATAATGACTGGTATTCACTATCTAAGGTCTAATCTGCACTGCAGAATGAATGCAGTTTGACACCACTTTAATTTCCATGGCTCTATGCTGTGGGATCCTGGGAGTTGTAGTTTGTTGTGATAAAAGAGCACTCTGACAGAGAAGGCTAAATAGCTTGCAAAACTACACATCCCTGAATTCTGTAGCATATAACCATGGCAGTTAAAGCAGCATCAAACTGCATTGTTTCTTCAGTGCAGATTAGACCAAAGTTACAGACGTGTAACTTAGAGTTAGGCATCCATAGAATTACTGGTCTAGGGTCTTGGCCAATATTTGTGCATTGAAATATTGTTTTCTGTACAGAAAAAGCTATTTCCTGCACAGCAAATGCTTCTTTCATGTGCATAAAGATAATGTGCGGATTTTGCATGGGGTAAGTACTCAATTACATTACTTCCTACCCCAAAAAAGAATATTTTGATTTTTAGTTCAGCCCCTGAGCCAATTTTAACTCATTTTGAGCAACTGGTTCTTTTGTAACTTTCTAAACCAACAGAGCTGCTGCCAAGTTCCACCCAAACTAAAATTCTGTGGAATTCAGGGATCCAGTAATGCATTGTATTTTCTAAAGAAACATGGCCAGGGCTGTGCTTCCGGTTCAGGATGTGAATCATACATTTTTAGGTGCATGAGTCTGAATGAGTCTGAGCAAAGATGAACATCTTTCTTTGAATGAGATGCCATTTCGTCATAACCTTTCATTGATAGAGCTGCCAAATATTCACTGCTTTCCATTTTCAGGTCAAAAATTATGTTAGGGAGGGTAATTTTTCAATTCCACCCCCAACCCACAGAGAGCCAGCATGGTGTAGTGGTTTGAGTGTTGGACTGTGACTCTGGAGACCAGGGTTCGAATCACTACTCAGCCATGGAAACCCACTGGGTGACCTTGGGAAAGTCACATGCTCTCAGCCTCAGAAGAAGCCAAAAAGGCAAAACCCACTCTCAACAAATCTTGCCAAGAAAACCCCATGAAAAGTTCACTTTAGGGTTGCCGTAAGTCAGAAATGATCTGAAGGCATGCAACAACAAAACATGGAAATATACGAATTCTCATGGTGAAGAATGGAGGAGGCACATAAGAACAACAATTTATCAACCCTCCCTTTATTTCTAGTGCGGTGCTTAAACAGCCAGTACTTTCCTTTCCAGATGTTCTTCAGTCCTATGCTGGGGTGCATTCTACTCATTCATGTGATCAGAGCCAATTGGGAACCATAGAATGAACATGATGTGGTCACTATTCTTCCCTACACCATTACATTCAGCTAGAAGAGAGTATTGCTGAGATTAATGACTCCTGAACTGGTCAATGGGATGATTTCATCCAATTAGATCATCACTTGCCCTCACTCTGAACTGTTATTATGATAAATCTCACATGTATATACTTTTTATGCAATCCTTTAAAAATGGTCAAAGTGGGATCTAAGTCCTACTCTGGGGTAAAGATCCCTGCCTGCAAAGTGAGGCATTGGTTGTGCTACACCAGGGGTAGGCAACCTAAGGCCCAGATGTGG